AAAGCAGTCTAAACCCGGTTCAGATTCCATGGCTACCTCAGATGCTGCTTCACCTTCCAGAAATAAACCAGTTGTAGTTAGAGGTAAGCTAATTATCTTACTTATAATAAGATCAATCTTATTTATAAAGAATCCCATAAAATTATTACTGCTAAGAGCAGGTTGAATGGATGGTTCAACTAAGTTATGTCTCTGGGTGAGTTTGGCAACTGTATTAAAAATATATCTAGGATTATTCTTATTCTCCTCTATTAATGATGAGAAATATGCTGCTCTTGTTTTACAAAGAGTCCTCTTATACAGCAGTTAACTATTTTTCCAGACTTGGTAGGATTCCCGTAGGCCCATGGAGCGGTATTTTCTCTCCAGTTTCCTAGAATTTTGCTTCAAGGTGCACAGCTCTGCATTAAACCAAGGAGCTTTTTTTTTTTTTTTACGTTTTTCTTTTTCAAAGGGGCTGCGTTTTCTAAGGCAGTACGTAGAGAACTAGCAACCCCATCAACAAAATCATCAACCTGTGAAGGGGAATAAACTAAGCTGTTGCACCCTGCAGAGCAGCTCAGCGACATAGAGGAGAAAGAAAGTGAATGATTCTTTAAAATTTATAACTACACTATCTGATAATGATCTGCTAAAGTGAAACCTTCTTTTGGGGGAGGAGAACTCTGTTAAAGTAATCCTGAAGGTTATTAAGAAGTGGTCAGAGAGGACAGGGTTGTGAGATAAATACTGTTAGTTCTTCACATTCTATGCCATATGTCACCACAAGATCCAAAATATGAAGATGAGAATGTGTGGGACTATTCACATTTTGAACAAAGCAAATAGCATCTAAGATAGCCAAATCCAAATACCTTCAATTGGTAGGGACAAATAAAGATACGTTATATACATTTTCAATGAAAAATATCTTTAAAAATCATCTTTATCATCATCTATAAGCCTGTAGCCTATTTTCACTGATTTACTTTGGGTCAGAAGTTCCTGTGGGGTCTACCTTCTTTTAAAAGGGACTGCAGGGAGAATATGACACCATTATGAGAAAAAAATTTAAAAGAAAAAAACAAGTAATTTTATTTTTTTATTTAACAAATAAATGACAATTAGTTTATATTTATGTTGGGTTAATCTACTGTAGCAGAGATTACAGTCGGAATGGATATGTGAGCTTTATCATAACTTTGTTAGGTAAAATAACAGAGATATAGCAAAATTCTAAAACAAAGTGACTTCAACATAAAAGTTAATTTTGACAACAGAGATAACAAGTGAAAGAAAACAATTTAATCCTGAAAAGAGATACACCAATTAGATATTTTCTTCTGTATTGATCCCAAAGTAGAAAATTCTAGATCGGACATCATTGAAAATATGCCGGACTCAAACAGGCAGATGTTTTCAGACTTATTTCTAACTCTTAAACAGCAGAAAGGTTGACCCCTTATGGGCATCTGTGTTTCATTTATTAAATACATTCAATTTGAACCTTTACGACTGCATATTTGCTTTAATGATGGAATTTGTCATGTTAACACAATTTACTGTTTCTATAGCTTGCTTTCTGACATTACTTTTAATGCAAGTTGCTTTTTGTAATACACATGTACATTCATACATGTACTTGCTTGCAAAAAGGAGTTTATGACAGCCTCTTAGATTATAAAACAGTGATGATGATAACATTAGAACAGAGCTCTGGTATTGGAAAATGTCAGAATCTGAAGAAACTCAAATTCAACTATTTGGACCGGATGTGAAAAAAATCTGTGTATCTCTAGTCGTGAGGCATACAAAAATTTCTATGCTCTCGGTAAGTTTGTTTTCTGGAAAACTTAATTGTTTCCTTGTACTAAGAGAAGATTTGGAGTTCCACTGCTATATCCCATAGCATTGCAATGTTCAGCTCTGGTGGTCCTCATTTCCTGTGAAACAAAAGAAGGAAAGGGAGGTCAGAGCAATGAAAATATTAAAGGAACAGTAGTAAAGGTAAAGGAGGGTCAGACACACCTCTGTCAGAGCTGGTCTGTGGACACAGTGGATGTACGGCTTGGGTTCTGTTTCAATCTCTCCATTGAAGGTTTTGTAACAGGTTGTGCAGTCAATGAGCGGCTGCATGAATGCACACAAACAAAACAGCAGAGGCATGTCAGAGCAGCCCCCCCACTGGAGCCACATTCCACAGCTTTCTTGATTTCTACTTAAATAACAACTGGAACATCATGAATCTCACTGTGCAGTTGAGCTTTGACTTCCTTTAGTTATGCAGAT